AGAGTAGAGAGAAAACTAAAACCACGTCTAGTATTAGAAGAGAGAGAGAGAGAGAGAGAGAGAGAGAGAGAGGAGGGGGGAGGAGAGGGAGAGGGAGCGAAAGAGTTTTCAACCCGTTAATTGAGCAACCCGGAAGCCTTGTACTTGTAGATAGGCTGAAATGTTGTGTGACGAAAGCGGGGAGGAAGATGAGCAGTACTGATTATTGCATGGCGTCTATGGTGCATGATTAGACACTTTGCTATTGCCTGCAAAAGACGTGAGAGGATGGAGGAGAGAGAGAGAGAGAGAGAGAGAGAGAGAGAGAGAGAGAGAGAGTTCATCAAGTACATAATATACCTTCGTTTTTCTACTTGGGCGTTGTATCTATCTCAATGGGTGGTTGGCGGGTGCTCTGGTGTCGTTTGCTCCTTCTTTCCTGCCTGTCCAACAACTACCGTCCTTATCTCCCCTCCTTTTTATGTTTGTTACTCTCTTGTAACACCTCTAATCTTCGGCTCTTATATGACCTTAATGTGTTGTAAGTACCGTAAAACGCTTACTGAAACAAAAGTATCTATCTCAACTCAGCTTAAACTAGACAGACAAGGTTGAAGCAGCCGGCCTCCGAAATGATATAATTTGAGTCGATTGGGGATGTAAAATGTCCCTACAATTACACTTAAGGAAGGTACTAGCAGATAGCTAGAGTATTGAAAACGAAGTCAAGAGATAAAGTAAGACACAGATAAAGGTCAGATTTAGATAGTCGCTTCTTTTTTTTTCAAGAGATAAACCAAATCGAGGATCAGTGTGGGTGGTTGGTGGGTGCTCTAATGTGGTTTGCTCGTTGTTTCCTATCAAACATTCATTTCTGTCATCCTTATTTCTCTCCCTGTTATATATTTTTTAAATTTTTATTTTTAATTTTTTGTTTTGTTTTGTAATGCTACTCTCTAATAACACGCAGTAAACGATACATTTCCAAAAAAAGCAAGAAACAGACAGATATAGAAATTCATTCGTATCAACTGCAGTGAGGCTACTGAACACACAGTGCTACAAATGAAACACACAGAGAGAGAGAGAGAAAGAGAGAGCGAGAGAGAGAGAGAGAGAGAGAGAGAGAGAGAGAGAGAGAGAGAGAGAGAGAAAGAATGTTTACAGAGCGGGTTGTCCCAGCACGTGAGACATATTGTATTTACTTGGCCTATAATGTCCTGTCTTGTGCGTTTGCGTGAGTGCACCTTTAAGTCCAACTTTTGTAAAGTCTACTGCCATTGTTAACGACCAAGACAAATTTCTCCCTGCGAGATGAATAAAGATTGTCATTGTCATTGTCTAATCTTCGACACTTATAAGACCTACTCGTGTTTCAAGTGCCGTAAAACGTTTACTTAAAGTAAACAAAATTGAGGATCGGTGGGTGGTTGGCGGGTGCTCTAGTGTGGTTTGCTCTTTCTTTCCTATCAAACTTCCATCATCCTGATCTCTCCTCCTTCTGTTTTGTGTTTGTTTCTCTCTTGTAACACCTCTATTTTTCGGCACTTATAAGACCTAATGGTTGAGTGCTGTAAAACTTTTACTAAAAGTAAACGAAACTAAGGATCTGTTTATTTTATTCTGTTACAGGAAAAAGAAGCATAAGAGGCGAAGAGATCCGAAAAAACAACGACCCATTTCCCCCCATGTCTCTCCCGCTCACAGTCAACCCTCCACTCTGGGTCATGTGTCAGACCCGAGACTTCCAAAGGTGAGGCAATTGTTGTTGTTGTTGTTGTTGTTGTTGTTGTTGTTGTTGTTGTTGTTCTTCTTCTTCTTCTTCTTCTTCTTCTTCTTCTTCTTCTTCTTCTTCTTCTT